TTGGCAACTGATGGCTGCTGGGAGGGAAAGAGACAGTCTCTTACAGGGATATTCTCTTGCCGTATAAGACAACGCCAAACTGTAATGTGCCAAAGTGTCAAATATATCCTGAATTTCGAATAGTTCCACAAATATAAAATATTACTAGCAAAGTTATTTTGATTGCATGTTGAAAATATTAAAATCAGTGAAATGCTTATCAACATTCATTTCTTTTTAAAATGTGGCTATGAAAAAAATTGGAATAGCACATGTCTGATCCTTGTGGCTCACATTACATCTGTTTTTGATAGCACTGCTTTGGGCCAAATCATGTTCTGCTGACAGTGGCTGGCCTTGATCCTCTACTTCTCCAATGCTGTTATGAGCAGGCTCAGGGATTGGGTGTCAGGGAGACAAGAAGATGCTGCATGGTCTGTGAGCATGACCTACCTACTTCTCACTAGAGTGGACAAAGCTCTGGCTGCTTACAAATACACAGATTTCTAGAAATAGTGGTTGATCCTGAGCCCTTGGGATGGTACTGTTCTCCTGACCAGATATTTGGTGGCTGATGGATTATAATGGGCCCTCTCTGTCCAAAAGGACCAGAAATATTTTGAGTTTGTTTTAAAGTAATAGAAATATATTCCAAGTATGAATTTGTCTTTCCTATCAGCAGGGACTCAACTAAAACCATTACATAAAGGCATACTCTGTATTTGATCTAGTAACATGGGCGCCTTACATAGCATCAGACCAGAGCAGGTGAACTAACTACAGAAAAAGCGGTGTGAACAGAATATACATTTCCATGTGATCCAGCTGTCATACCACAGGCTTTAAAGCTATTGGACCTACATGCATAGATGGGCCTACTGACTGGTGTAAAGTGCAAATTTGGTGGCAATAATCTGCAAGAATGAAGTACTGTTCTCCAGGGCGTAGTCTGTGCATCAGATCAAGAACTTTTATAAGGTGATGTATTCAGCTCTCCGTATCTGCTCAGTGGCTTTCACGAATTCAACCAAATGTGGATTTAAAACGTTTTAAAAAAAGACACCTGTAGATTTTGTTTCTTGTAATTATTTCTTAGTTCATATATTTACTTTGTGTAGGTATCAGAAGTAATCTGGAGATCATGTATAGCAAATAGAAACATGCGCATAGGTTAGATGCAATACCACTACTCTGTTACATGTTAGGTACTTGAGCAGCCGCCCTTCTTTTCAATCCATGGGGATCGTGGAAGAGATCTCCCACAGAAAATATGGGGTAACCATATATCATATGAAGAACTCATGGGTGTGGAAGCCCCAAGTGGAAACAGGAGAGGCTTCCCTTAACACAACTCACTGAAAAACAAATGTGTTTCTCCCACAATTCTGTTTGCTCTGCAAAGTTAAAGGTCCCCTTTCCTCAAGGGGACACACTTTTATCAGGTTTCAAGGAGCCCCAGGGAATTACAGCTACTGCCGCTGCTCCTTAAACACTTTAGGCAACTGAGGAGTTGGTTACTATTTTGGAGGTGATACTTCACCATGGTCAGGAAGAGATGTGCCCAGTGTTATGTATATATGGGAGCAGGAATTTCTGTTCACACAGATGCCTTTCGAGCATGGATCAGGCCATTGGCACTAGCAGAAGTGGTTGCTGAAGATAGCGGGTGGAATCAACAGTGAAAGGAAGAGGACCAGTACCAGCTGTGGCTCTACAAACAGCCACGGTGGCAGACGCTGTAGCTTATTCTAACTCTGTCCTTCGAAGAGTCCCCTTGGGAAGAAAGGCCTGCAGGATTCCTGGAGGAACTGTTCCTTGAAATTTAAGATGTAGATCTGGGAGATAGAAGGAAAAACACAAATCTAGGGCACATTCTAAGATTCCCTTTCAAGGACTGGTTTCAAGCCACCCAAGAGCACTTTCTGTAGTGTGACATTCGATGACTTGTGAGGTGGCAGAAAAGGGCTTAGCCATTTCAGCCCACTAGTAGATGACTCCAAGGAACAATTTTGCTCCAAAATCCCCATTGTTTTCACCTGCTGGACTTTGATGGGCTTATGCCACAAGCTGACTGTTCTCTTTTCCTGATTGGATTCCTCTCCACTGATCCCTAATAAAATGTGTGCATGCAAATTTCAGTCTCAGATACTAGGTCTCTCTCTCTGTCTCTGTCTCTCTGTCTCTGTCTGTTCCCCGCCCCCCCCCCGTATTTGCATGCATTGTGAAATGTGGTTATACACCTGCCATGGTGTGTGTGTGTGGTCCAAGGAAAATCTCAGTTTTCTGTTCTCCCCTCCTTTGAGACAGGGTCTTTTTCCTTTGCTGCAGCATATGCCAAGTTAGCTGGCTTGGAGCTTCTGGATACTCTCCTATCTCTGGCTCCAGCTCATCACAGGGGTACTGGGATTACAGATGCATAATACTACACTTTACACAAGTTCTGGGATTCACACCCAGGGTCTCATGTTCATGAGGCAAGTTGTTTACCCACTGAGCCATCTTGCTGGTTTTATAATGATCTATTTTTTTAAAAAGTATTTATTTTTGTGTGCATGTATGTGTACCTGCATGGTTTATGTGTACCATGCACATGCAGAGGCCTGCAGAAGCCAGAAGAGGGTATCAGACCCTCTGGAACTGGAGTGAGTCACCCAATGTAAATGCCAGAGACCAAACCTGGGTTCTCTACAAGAGCAGTTAAGTGCTCTTAACCACCAAGCCATCTCTCCAGCTCCATACAATAATCAATTTTTAAAAAATATTTTATTATTTTTATTTTAGGTGTGTGAGAGTATTGCCTACATGTGTGTAGGTGCACCTGTGTTGTGCAATAACTTTGGAGATCAGAAGAGGGCATCAGATCCTCTGGAATTGGAGTTAGGATGGTTGTTGGTAGTTAGCCACCTTGTAGGTGTGGAAATTGAACTTGGGTTCTCTGCAAGAGAGTTAAGGGCTCTTAACTGCTGAACTATTTCTCCAGCTCCGTACAATGATCAATTCTTGATAGAGTCCTGTGCCCTATACAGAAGAGACAGACACAGAAGGAAGAGATCTGCTTTCCTCAAGCTGTCCCATGCTGTGGACTACAGAATGCCTGTCCCAGCTGAAATCCTGTCTTCTGTTGAACCTGCAACCTTTTCTATCCTGCCAATCATCTCTTACACATCTGAACTCCTGTACTGAAGTGTGCTTTGTGCCACTCTTCTGTGCTTCCCATGTGTCAGCGAACATTCTTTGAGACTCTTAGATGCTTCAAGCACTCAATGTTGGAAACATGGACAGTATAGAGACTAACTGGTTTTTTGATCCCAGGAACTCCTGAGGAGGGCTAAGCTTATACACAAGTGAAATGAGACTTGAAGGGGCTCTCACAAATGTCTGCCTTGGCCATAAAAGAGCAGGCCATCAATGTTCAGAAGAATCAGAATGGCAACATAAAGAAAGGGGCATTGGTTTTCTGTGAAAAGTCGAAGGTCATTTGAAGTCTGCTGCCAGGATGGATGTGTGAGTGACATTCTGGGCAAAGAGGCAAGCCGATAAGGAACAGGGAAAACCGAGTGGCAGGTGATAGCCAAGTAATCTATCTTGTGGGTTAAGGGTTCAGGGAAGGCAAAGAGACAGTTTCATGAACAAAAAGGTTGGAAAGAGTTGTATCTAGATCTAGGGAGACCTAGTAAGGCATTCTAAAGAATGTGAATTTTATTTTGGGTAACGATGGGAGATTTTTTATGTAAGTAACACAGTCAAATTTGAGTTATAGTATGATCAATTATACATTATTATTTAACTCTTAAAACCATAGTTCTAGTATCCAGACATAAGAAACCAAATTGTTTTTTGGACAATGCCCTGCATTTGATAGGAGATTAAGAATGAGACATATTCGGGGCTGGAGAGATAGCTCAGTGGTTAAGAGCACTGGCTGCTTTTGCAGGGGACGCTGGTTCAATTCCCAGCACCCACATGGCACCTAAAAGCTGTCCAGTTCAAGGGGCTCAGGTGCCATCTTCTGACTTCTGTGGGTATTGCATGCATGGCAATACACTCATGCACATAAAATAAAAATAGAAAAACAAAAAATTTAAAAAAGAATGAGGTATCCCTTCACTCTACTTCTAACAATAAGTTTTGATCATCTTAAGCTAATACTTTCAAGCAGATAGGCATATATAAGACTTTCCATGTGCAGTATGTGCTCGGCATCGTGCTGCAATTTCTGCTTTAAGCGAAGCAAAACAAAAACAACAACAACAACAAATCCTACTACATAGTTGAATTGAAGGATGCCTCTTACATGACAGTACCTGACACAGTGGGCCTTACCACCCAGGACAGAGTAAATGGGTTCCAGTGGGGGAGTCTATGGGAGGGTGCTTGTGGAGATGGGCTATAAAGATGATTCAGATTGCTTGAGATATTCTGTATGAAATACAATAAAATTTAATAAAAACAGATTAAAAATACTCTGAAATTTCATTTCCATTGAGTTCCCTTTGGTCTTCATGACAGTTTACACTTCATTACCTAATGAATGAGTTGAGAAGAAATTGGCTTCTCATACAGCTTTTTAAGACTGCTGAGACACAGGAGAGAGGTATTTGTGTGTGTGTGTGTGTGTGTGTGTGTGTGTGTGTGTGTGTGTGTGTCTGTGCAAGGGTGCTTGTGTGTGTAAGGCCAAAAGACAACCATCATTCCTCACAGGATCTTTCACTGACTGGAACACATTGGGTGACTAACCACAAGACCAGGAACCTATCTCTGCCTCCCCAACACTGGGGTTACCAGCATGTGTCACCACTCTGGCTTTTTTCTGTGAGTTCTAGGGATAGAACTCGGGCCCTCGCACTTGCTGTTGTCATGTGCTTGACCAACTGAACCATCTGCCCAGTCTTGATGGAAGTACTCTTATGTGCTCTGTGACAGGAGGAAGGCATGTGAGACGGCAACTCAGGATACAGGAACAACAGTTTTACAGAAAATATAACAAAAACTCAACAGTAGATACAACTTAGAAACCGGTTTTACTCTTGCAAACAATGGACAAGATATTGTACAATATATAATAAAAAGTACAGCCCAATACAAGTGCCACTAATTAAAGAAACTTGAAGATCAGACTTAAAAATGCTTATTTGCAATATATATATATATATACACACACTGCAACAAAAAGCCACAATAAATACAGGAATTTTCATATCATTCATAATAAATACTGAAAATATAAATACAGAAGACTACAGCTAATATGAATAAATTATTACAATATAAGGTCCAGGTTAAGTTCTGTTGAATATTATTGTAGCTTATTTTATATTCCCTTTGGCATCTTTGATGTTATAACGTGTACACAAGAGAAATCAGTCTAGAAATTGACATATAACATGACATCTTGGTCTAAAATGGCTGTGTGTGGATTGTAGTTTGATTTTCTTCCCTTTCAACATTTGTAAGTCATCAGACTGAACATAATTGTTATGAAATATCTATTGAAATACTGTGAATGTTGGGTAAAAGTAATAAAGTCAATTGAAAGATAAGATCATAATGTCAAAATATACTTTACAGTAATGTTGCTTTTTTTGAGTTTTTAATGTTGCATTCTCTTTTTTGCCACTTTCCAACAGGCAAAAGAACAAAAAGCAAAAACAAACACTGTCAAAAGACTCCCCTTGTGTAAGGACCATTTCTAATGTATGGATGGTTCAACATAGACAGGATACACGAGTCCTCAGGATCAAGTGATCTATAAACACATTCAGCGCACTACATTGTACCAGGATTTGCAAATGTACCAAGTTTCTACAGCAGCTTGCAAGTGGAGACACAGTTGATGTCTAAGACTATGATCAAGATAAGACACTGTAAATGTAACATTTATCTATGTGACCAATTATATATATGTATTTTAAATGGGAAAAATGTATTGCTGACCAATGCCAAATGACCTTCCCTACCAAATTTAAATACCCTGTGACACTGAAGGAAACACACTGAAATAACAAAGTGCCATTTTCTGCATTAACAGGCATTAACCAGTACATATGTATTAATAGTTCTATCTTAAGAGGCTATTACACCAAAATGCAATAAACTAAAGAGAAAGCAGAGCAACTTTACTAAGACACAACAAAGGCGGAAGATCTTAGGAACAGAGTTGTAATCTACAGGTTTAACTTTTTATTTTTACTATTTCTGTACTGTAAATGTCTAGCATTTATTATACATCAAACACTTTTGAAACATGTTGCACAAACTATGCCTCAGGCTTCTTTCCATAGAGGTGCCTAGAGTCAATTAAAACATAGGCCAAATTTTATTCACGATTTTTTACATTAACATTCTACAGCATCTTGTGTGTGTGTGTGTGTGTGTGTGTGTGTGTGTGTGTTTTAACTGAAAGGGTCATTTCCCCACAGTGAGGCTTATGGGGAGTGAGTACGTTGATGAGGCTGTCATATCACAAGAGCATCAAGGTGGGGAGAAAGCAGCCTTACCTAGATTGGGAAAGCTCCTTGGAGAAAGGAAACACTGACCTCCTGGCTTGTCACTGTCCTGCTAGCACAGTCTCAGGTGCAGGCAAACAGAAAAAACTCTGAAAGCTACAGGGAGTGTCTGGGTCAAGAGATGTCATGGAGTGGGGGTGGGGAAATTACCCTTTCCAGAACTCCTTTTGTTTTCAGGCCTGGTCAAGATGACAGATTTTTAAATCACTTTCCTGATCCCCAGAAAGCAAGCAGCCATTGTTTAAGTAATGAGGACAAAGGCTGGGGTCAGACGGTGGCTGAGTGATTCTCTAGAATCATTTTATTCTAGATCAGATTCACAGACAGTGACACCTTCCCCAGAGAAGAAGTTTAGATTCTTGTTAAGATTAACAAGAATGTAGTTGTTCAAAAACAAGAATATAGAAAATGACTTTTTTTAATTTTAATTTTTTGGAATTGTAATTCTCAGAGACTTGAACAGTTTACGAGTCCAGTCACTTGATTCTAGTGCTGATATTTGCCACTGGGGATTGGAACCAGCCACTTTTCCTGACATTACTTCCTTGATATAACAACAAATTTTCAAAAGGAATTATAAATGAATAAAAACTGACTAAAGTCATTTGTCAAAAGCAGATTATGTTATTGAGTCTATGAATACTTACATTTTCTTTTAAAATCGTTTTGTTAGGATATGTATAGAATCATCATACTTAATAATCATCAGATGAAAGGAGAACCCAACTTCCACAATCTTCCAGTACAATGGGCCAAATTACCACAACTGTTGCCAGGTGCCTGGCCCTCAAAGACTGGCCAAGACATGTTGTTAAAGTGAGAGATCTTAAAGGAGCTGGGCTGTTGCCAAGGAGACAACCCTCCCTAGGGACGGTAAGAATAAATGGGCATCTGTGTTGTGGGACATGCGAGAGTGACAGTACTCGCCTGAGGAAGATGAATGAGCCATGTGACCCCTGAAGGCCTCGCCTAGGCTCAGGACTGTACAATCTGAAGAGTACAGAAGAATCTTAAATCTTCCATTGTTCATACTCAGTTGGCCACTCTGGGTATCTTTAAAAAGATTAAGCTGTCTTGAGATACCTGTTGGGCATGAATAGTGCCTAATAAATCAGGTTTCAGATGGTAACCCACGGCAGTGGACTTTAACTGTGGTAAAACAAAACAATTTTTGCAGTTATTGAAAATTAAAATCTATCAGATATCATTTGGCTGCCACTCCCTCTCTCAAAGACAAACAGTAAGTTCTTTAACTTAGATATTTGGGCTTTTTCTCCTAAGGAGAATTCAGATTTGGAATTGAGCACTTTATTTCTTCCACATCTAAATAACCTTTCACAGTTTATACTGTTCTTTGAATTTGTTTCCAACATGAATGGCCTATTTATGAAAAGGGTCAAAAGATTGGTGGTCAAGATGAAAAAGAGGAGCAAAGCAATACTTGATAAAATGTGGTACAAAGCCAGGCTCTTCAAATTCTCTTTCAATATTTCTCCAATGTAGAGGTAAGAGCCAAACCATCTTAAGAGAGCATGACCCAGACAGAGTGGGTGGTCTTACTTTGCATGCAGTAAGACATGACACAGATAGAAATTCTTAGACAATTTTTAGAGGCATTTTCTAACTCAATTTTCTCCCAAGTTCTCATTAATAAATAGCTTTTGTATCATCCCAAGCCAGATAAAAGTTTTGGAACAGAGTTAAAAGAAAATAAAAGATATTTAATAATGAAAGTAGTATAAACTTTCAACTAAAATCAGTAAAGTCATATAAATCAACTTAGACAAAAACCAAGGCTGATTTCTACCATATTTATCTCCTACCATATTTAGCTCTTTCTAATCATTATACATTTCTTTAGAAGGAGTTAGATGACCTTGTAAATGTGACTAAAATTATAATGTGAACTGACTTTACTGTCAATATGCTTATGGGAGATGCAGGGGAATTCCAGCAAGGATGTTGAACATAAATGTTGTCTAATATAAGATCTAGCACCCTCTTTTTCAAGTTTCATCCTGTCAGAAACTTTTGTGAAAGATGAAATAAAATGACACAATAGTGTTGACTCTTCTTGAAATAGAAGCAAGTGTGGAGGGTTAATATAGAGCAATGGTCCTGTTTAGTTAAAAGTTTACAAAGAAAATAGTCAGGAACCAATACCACTTAAATCTTTGAAATGATTTTGTTTCCCACATGTAACAGCCGCATTTAACTGTAGTTCTAGTATGGTAATGGCATTAGTTTAGGTTTTGAGGCTCTTTCCCATGCTCCCTTCATTCTACTTAATTTATGACTCTCAGAATGTAAAGCCCATGGCAGGCAAGACAGCACGTAGACTAACCCCAGTCCTCATCACCAGGAAAAACCTAGACAGTGCCAAGCATTCAAGTTTAAAGAAACTGAAAACACCTGCCTTGTTTAACAACTGGGCTCCAGCTTGACAGGCCATAAGAGAACTTGAAGTCAAGTTTGGAATTGGAAGAGCTCTTTTATTTCCAAATTCCTTACTTTTGTCAATAATGGAAGTCACTTGTCATTTTAGTATAAAATGTGCTTAAATTTCTAACAGAGAAATTACTTTCTTCTGAATGTTAGAGGTTGTGTTTTTATATTCTAGAGAAAGAACTGTAACTGCTGTGGATGATGGCCAGCAGGTATGAATATTAATTGGGCTCTGAGGACAGCAACATTGCAACTGCCCTTTCTGGGTTTGGGGTGTTTAGTCATCACCTTCTAGAGCACTAACACCAAGCCCAGCTCTGTTAAGAGCTTTCTATTCATCACTCCTAGCAGACACTGTCACTTCCAAACGTGCACTTCTGAACCCCTACCCTAGCACTCCCATAATCCTAATGAGTTTTAAAATTGTGAATATTCAGCTAATGAAAGCCTGTACCATGGCAGAAAACATCTGATAAGCTATACTCTTGGTGGAAAGCTGTGTTATTGGTGTTGGTCCAGCACAACCTAGCAGTTCTCTGAAAAACAATGCAACAAGAAATTGTAAATTTGCATTAGAACTAAGAATGATAAAAATTTCTGCTTTGGATGTTGGCCATGGTTGCAATACAACAGATAGTTCCAATTTCAAATTACAGTTGACTTTGATAGCGTAATGGTGCCTCCCACTTAAACTTGGCATTCTATATGTCGACTATGACACTGTAAACTGTCTTTAGGAGAACAAGGAGCAGGTGCATTTTTATAGTCAAACATTAAGGTCTAGTTGCAGAAATAGAGGGCTTATGGCTTCTTTATTAAAAGGTAATGACTACAAAGGATATAAATTTTCCTGTGCTAATTCCATGGTTTGTAACTACAGTTGAAAGTCAGGGGTGAATAAGGACTGCTCGTTTTCCATCTGCTTCAAGTAGTGCCTTTGGAGGAGGGTTTTGCTGTTTTAATAGCCTGTTATGAACACAAGTAACAAGGTGGTTTTCCACATGACTATTGCTAAAGTTTCCTGAAATGTTTCATGGAACACCCTCTGAAACTGGTAGGAGCTTATTGGTATAAATTTGCCATCTCTTAGATAGCTCTGAATCCAATAAGCAATTAGCTGACCATCTCCTTTTACCTGAAACCGGATTTAATTTGAACAACTAGGAGGGTGCAGTAAGTTCCATTAACGTAAGGAAAAGCAGCACCTTTTAGATGTGGTTTGCATATAATTAGAATAATCAGTGACAGTGCTTCTGATAGGACGCTGGAGATTTACACGAGAAGGGTTTGACCAGGCTTGACCCCTTCATGCCACCCTTCATTGTCCTCACCTTTCAGAATGGATGCTGTCTCTACTCTTATTTCTAGTAGAACAACTATTCTAACATAGTAGGTATTGAATCAGTAGCTGTTCAAAGAAAAAAATGGACATTTACTATATATTCTCAAGATCAAGACTAAGCAGTTATGAGTTTGTATAATATAACAAAAAGAGATGTATCTGTTTATAGGAAAAAATTGGATAATTTTCTTGTTTAATTAAAACGGAACCAGAATTTTGCCTAGAATATAATCACTTAGTATATGCTCTGCTTCTTCAAGGATTTGTGGTCAAATTTTCTACATGTGATATGGTTTTGAAGGAATAGGGGGAGCTGGTATTGTTGTGCCATACATGGCTGTACAGATTTTTATCACTTGAAGAAATGCTGACTATCTCACATGTGGACAGCACGTTGGGAAAAATCCAAGTCCATCAAAGACCAGCCTTCATCAACATATTATTCAGTCAACTAAAAGAAAAGAGACAAATGGATTGTACCTATATTTTAATAATTGATCACCAAAAGATAAGGAGGAAATCTTAAAACTCTCTTTGAATTCTTTCTCCCAAAGGAAATTAAAAAAAAAATAAGAATGGAAATGAGGCTGCTCTGGCCACTTGACTTGCAAATCAATTTGGCCAGGAGTCTAGCTGGGAATCAAGTCTCCGAAGAAACAGGATCCTGGAGCATCAGGCTTTGCAACGGACCCATGACTCAGGGGCTGTCTGCATAGAAAGACTCTTATTTGGCTGAGTATACTACAGAAGCAAAGCAACAGCGCGGAGCACGTTACTGTGTCTTGGTACAAAGATTCTAAGTGTCCCAACCTGGCTGCATCTAACTTGATCTCCCTTTGAAAGACTGAGAATAAAGATAGCACTTTCCTGGCATGTGGCAGTTTTTGTTGAATAGAAGGTCTGTCAATGGGAAAAAATAATCCAGATGGAACACTGCACTTTCTGAGTTTTTCCGGGAAAGGAAGTGACAATGAAATTATTCTACCATTAGCATTATTTGTAACTTTGACCCAATATTTTCAATAAATCACCTTCACAATTGTCTTCTTTTCAAAAGTAAATTTTTAGATTATAAGACTCAACTTGATTGTACTATAGGAACTAACTGCCTAGTACTCATTCATTACTGTTACTTAAACCTATCATGCTCTAGGGTGTGGTACTGTATGCGTCTAATCTAGGTAGAGTACATAGGATTTTTTTTGTAAAAATAAGTAGCCTGTATCTATTACAATCTGTGAGATGATTATGGATTACTTAGGTATATGAAAATTTGGAATGAAGACTGTCATGCTTACAAAGGTAATTTTTCTTGGTAGAGCAGTGACATTCTATCCTGACTAGATAAAGGAAGAAAGCTCTGTTTTTGTAAGTATCTTTTGGGGGAAAAGGATGCAAAACAGAAACCCAGCCAAATAGAAAACATAGGCTTCAAACCTCCTGGTAAAAATAAAGCTGAACTAAAATGAACATATCTTAACTATTCAGGAACTAAACTGTCATTCTTCCCTTCAAATCCACACCAATCAGGATTGTCTTGTGCTCTCCCACCAAACTATGTTTTAAGAATAGCTTAAGCATGCCTCACCAGTAGATATTGTAATGGTCCAGCAAATACAGAACATAGGATTTTTTCGTGTGCTTGAATGAAGCGTCTAGTCATATCCTCTTTGAGTCTGTGCTCTTTAGAGTGTGTGGGCAGGGGGTGGGGAAAGTGGAGATCAAATGCTGAAGATGGTAACCTTGCAGGTAACTCTGTATATACTACCATGAACAGAGCAAATCCCCATCAGATTAGACCCCTTGCTCATCAATGAAAAAGCACAGCAGCCCCCACTACTGCTGTCTATAGAATGACAAATTTTGATGTGGCAAAAGGAAGGAGCTGGAACCAACCGCACAGTTGAAGTACTGCCATGCAAAGATGCTTTCTGCACATCAAGTTTAGTAGAAACTTTTCCACTGGAGGACTATGAAGCATTTTCAAGTTCAATGAAATAAAACAGTATGCTGTAAAGAACTGAGATCTATAACATATTATATCCATGTCTGTAAATGCCCAAGACTAAACGGCATAAAAAGTAAGTAGAGAGGCAGTCACGGAATAGCAAGCTATGTCCACATTTCAAGAGTCACAAAACATGTGGAATGGTATAATAGGTCAAAAATGGGAAAGAAATTTAGCATAATCATTGTATTGGGGGGAAAGGTAAAACTTGTTTAGTAACTCAATTTACAGGAAAAGAGGTTGCTGAAAGTCCTCCCATGAACCAAGTGCAGGTAATCTAAGGTGGGGAGAGCATGTCTGATTTCTATACATTCCCTCTAGGAGGAGAATGTGAGGTTTAATTAGCATATGCTATGCATTCTGGACTGTTTGGTTAACTGTCCCAGGCAAGACAAATCAAAATGATTCCAAAAAATAAGACCTAGTTGAGTATGTGAGCAGAAGCCTCCCTTCCATCAGCTAGTCGCTATGTGGAAATCTCATTACACACTTTGTTTTTGTAGAGATGGATGAAGAACGCTGAACGAAAGGCTGGTCGCTCAGGCTGTGTCTCTTCTGTGTTTACCAGACTCATCTGTTACTGAATTAGGTCCTCGGAGTGGTGAAGGAAAACAAGTCATTTTTCCTTCTTGTCATTGGAAGAATCCTCTCTCTTAATAGTATGAACCTTACAATAGTTATAGAACTTTTGCTTCAATTAGAAAATTTTTCATTTCAAAGAGTTCTCAGTCCCCACCCCACACGAGACACCGTGAAGGGGCACTAAAGTGCATTTTGATGGAGGGGAGAGTTTAAAGGTGCTGTCCAAGTTAAGAACCAAGATGACGACGCTGTTTATAAAAAGAAAGGCAATTCCTTCTACCTCCATCATGGGAGTTGGCAGAGGGAGGGCAGCTAACTAGTTCCTCACCACAGGATTGTCCTAACTCTCAACTTTAGAGAAAACTGTGTAAGGACCCGCACATATAGACTCATTTATTTGTCCAAAATAGCAAAAATAGGCCTATTTCACTCTTAAGAAAGTATTTGCAAATCTGCTCAGTCAGGATCATAAAAATGTGGGTGGGTCTAGATACAATCCTCGCGGGCATGCTCTGTGGTGCTAGCTATGCATCTTCAGTGAACATGCTGTTCATTTTCACCAAAACATGACTTCTAAACTACCATAAATAAAATACACAAGGAACGATTAAATCTTTTTCTTACAATAATTAATTTTTACATTAAAAAGTCACCTCATCTTCAGATATATCGAAAATTAGGACTCTAAATCTTATTATTTTCTAGTCTTACTTAACAATCTTGCACAGGCCCGATAATCTAACAGTTGGAGCTCTGATCTGCACAGCTTGGCAGGTTTCACACAGTTTGACAGGTAGGCAACTGTGAGATATGCATTTTTTTTTAATTTAGCATTTTCTATCAAAACAGTTTGAATAGTTTAAAATCCCCATAGTGACTGTATTTGTGCAACGTCATATTCATGTAGTTAGAAAGGAGGAAACAAAATACTGTCTGGAAGAGTAATCACAGTCCACATTGTCTTGGTTTTCAGTTAAAACATCGATGAGCCCATGAAATCCTATTAAATACAGTGCTTTAGATAGAAGAGTTGGTCCTATAATAGAATAATTTAAGCGACTAAACAGGGACCGTCTCTACCACGGGTGATTTGATGCATTCTTCGTGCAATCTGCTCTTCTCTGCAAGGCTCAAAGAATTTTCAGCTGGATGCTCTGAAATGTGACTATCGCCATTTAACGTGGAGACAAACCCTTCCTGGGAAGGGCCTTTCAAGTATGAGTGAAATTCCACTTGGGGAAGATTGGATCTGTGTTCAGGATATAAGGTATTACAGGGCACCCCACTATCATTTTCTGAAGAGGAACAGCAAACAATGACAGAAGGGTTGGCAGCTGGGTAGTGGGAGGCTCCGTAGGCCTCTTCTGCTTGTCTGGCATAGTCAACGAATTGCTCTGGGGTCATAGTGTAAGGCACCAGCGAAAGGGTACCATTTTTGACAGTGTCTCTTTCAGAATAGTTATCGGAGATCTGGCTCGGAGCTCCTGGAATGTGGCTATCTATTTGGTAATACAGAGTTGAAGAGTTGGCATAAAAGGAAGCATTTTTCGTGTGGCCTTCATGAACTGCGGTGCCATCAGAATAACAAAGGACAGAAGGAAGAGGGACGACTTCTGCATGGGTCCCCAAGCCTTCCACGAAGCTGTCTCCCTTGTCATCATCATCATCATCCTCTTCCTCCTCCTCCTCTTCCTCCTCCTCCTCTTCCTCCTCATCCGACTCACTGGGGGCCAGGCTTTGTGTGCTAGAGTCAGTGACTCCGCTGCAGAAGCTGCTCCCGTCTTCCTCCTCTTCCTCCTCTTCTCCTGGGCAATCCAATTCCTCTGCAGACTGCAGGTGCAGGACTGCGGCCTGGGGTTCACTTTCAATCTCAAAATTGTCTGCAATAGAATATTCTACGGAGTGAGCCACAGGGCCCATGGAGCTACTGTGAGCACTTATCTCACCGTGACAGCCGTTCAGTGTAGGGATTTGATGCTCTCGGTTTTTCTCCAGTTCAAGTTTCATTATTGTGTGCAAAAAATGAGTCCGGACACGGATTGGATTAAATTCAATTCTACCTGCTGTGTTACTACAGCCTTCTTTAGTGCAGCCACACGGGAAAGACATTCGATCCACCTTAGAGGGAAGAACACAGATTATCACCATGGAACTATTACAGACCAAATAAAAATCGAGGACTTTCTAACAAACCCTCTTAATTAAGTAACCCACTCAGCTCTACTTAGGTCACAGGGAATGACAATCAAATTGCAAGTAAAAAAAAAACAAGGGAAGTGAAGACTTAAATTATAATAATGAACTCGTTTTTAAATGCATATTCAAAATAGCAATGGGCTGGCGGTGTACCTGAGAATTTTAATTTCACCACTCTGTTCAGTAGGATTTTGTTCCCCCGTTCCTTACTTTCCTTCCCTTTGGGATTTGATTTTGTTCCTGTTTTTCAATACTTCTACCCTTTTCCCAAGTCTCCTTTCCTTCTGTTGTATTCTCACACCCGATTTTATTTTATATTTTTAGTTAAATTTTAATGTATATTTTTATTGAGTTTTTGTGCACTTCCTATAATAGATCTTAATCAAATTTAGACCCCTCTTCACCGAATTTCACACATTCTGTCATATATGTTAAGTCTTATCAGGTCAAGCATTTGTACCCAGATGCCCCTCAGTGCAAGTTCATCTACTGGAATCTAGTCAGCCTATCTAGCACCCAATTTTAAACAAACAGACTATTCTTTTCCCAAGCTCCTACTTTAAGTCTAACTGCTCTGATGTTGCTGAGCTGGCTATGCTTTCTCCTTTGCTTATTATTGATGAACTCACTGCCCCTGACATCCAGGCTGACACACTTAGTGTCATGCACCATCACCATTTGCTCTCACAACCTTGTCACCTCATTCTCTTGAGTCCTCAGGTGCATGTGTCTGCACTGCAGGGTCTCAGTGACATGGATGTTCATGACTGTGACTGGCAGAAGCACATGCTCAAGTTGTGGCTCTCCCCCATCCTTAAACTACAAGCTTCCCCTGTGAAGAGCAATGTCCCTTTCATACACTAGAACTATGAATTTCGAACTAGCTATACAGTTTGCTCAACAAGTGTTGTTGGACTTTTTCATTCAGGCAAAGTGGGATGAGACATCCATAGGTATTCCTAAAGTATCTGGCAATTGTCTCAGACTCTACAAATCAACCCACACACAGATCAGAGTGCAAGCAAGAGAAAAAATCGTGCCCTGATTCCCATGTCAGAAGAGAAGCCAAACTCTAAAGAAGTTGTCCTAGAAATGTAGTAGCAGAGAGCTACGAAGCTCAGGACCAGCCTGGGCAACCAAGCAAAACCCTACGTCAAAGCAAAATTGAAAAGGAAGGAAGGAAGGAAGGAAGGAAGGAAGGAAGGAAGGAAGGAAGGAAGGAAGGAAGGAAGGAAGGAAGGAAGGGAGGAAGGGAGGGAGAGAGGGAGGAAGGGAGGGAGGGGCAAAGGTTAGAGTTAAAATGTTTTCATCAGTTGAGCTTATTGAAACTGCCGTCTTTTTTTTTTTTTTTTATGTGTATGAGTGTTTTGTCTGCATGGCTGCAAATGTACCACATGGGTGTACCCAGAGAGGTCAGAAGAGGGTGTCAAACCCCCTGGAACTGGAGTTACAGATGATTGTTAGCTGCCATGTAGGTGTTGAGAACTTAGCCCCAGGTCCTCTGCAAGAGCAACCAGTGGTCTTAGCCACTGAACCATCTCTCCAGCCACCTAACCTCTTCTTTCACCTGCCTGAATGACATAAAAAATTATTGAAAAAGCAGTTTCTGTAGTAAAATAAGAGGGCTTAACTAGTCACAGGGCCCTTGTAAAATTACAGATGAATGGGGACCAGAGAAATCACCTAGTCCTGGGGTTGGGAATCTTTTATTTCCCATTTAATTAGTTTTAAACTTCAGCCTTTAAAAGTGTAATCATCTAGGCTTGACTGGCAGGGATATTTCTGTGTTCTTCACATAAACTCAAATTTCAAGTTCTTTGGAGTAGACAAGCTTTTCACAGTTTATAACGGTGATGACATTCTTCCCAAGTGTAAAAATTCTCTCCCTATGGTTTCTCCCACATTCCTTGAGACACTCTCGGCTCCCAAAATCAGACAGAAAGCCCAAGTCCATCTTTCCCTGTGAAGGAAACCTTAGCAGCAGGAAGTAACTGCTGAAGAATGTGACTTCCTTTCTTATGTTTTTAAACAAAGGGCAAGAGAGCATTCGGCGCTTTGCAGCCATATCACCTCAGTACTGAGTGAAGTCCAAACAGCAGAGTATCTGTGCCTCAGTAAATCTTGCTTAAAAAAGCACGTGTCTGGTTAGACTCCAGCTGTGAGTTGAAAAGTGTACCCTACTCTGGTCCAATCCACTCATTTTAGAGAGGAAGAAATTGAGCCCAAAGGGTTTAGCCTACTTCAGGGGACAAGAATGCAAGTCAGTCTTTCAAGGTCTGACTAGTGATTTCGCCAGAGTCCATACCGCCAATAAAGAGTCATTACTTTATACCCGTGGATGGATCAGAAAATAGGAACGCAAGTACGACAGGGAGAGTTGTTTCCCTGATAAGCCAAAATAAGATGGGGAAATAACAGAATCCAGGAGAAATCACTTCAATGAACTCAACTGCAGTTTGGCCTGCCATCGCAGTGTATTTTCTATGTACAAGTATTTTATGAACGTCCTTGAATTAGGCTTTCTTTACCCTTGAATTACGTGTGTTCCCTTGCCATAGTTTTCTTCTTCACGTGAAAAACTCATTATATACAACATGACTGCTGCTTTCTGGGATGGCATGTGACATCTTTTCTTCAGATGCCCTGAGATCCTAATTCCTTACCTGACACTTAATGCCTGCCAGGCTGCAGGTACACGTCTCTGGATCACAGAACACTCTGCAGTCGCAGCCACAGTCCTCCCGTGACAGGCGAATGGCTCTCAGCTCGTGCTTTTCTTCCACATCGATCTTTTTCACTCCAGAGGCTCGAAGCAGGGCTCTCCTTTTTTTTGTTGGCAGGGGTTGTAGGAAGAAGTATTCGTCGACTTCTGTGTTGTCTAAATCAATATCATCATCAGAAATGTCATCCACGGTGAGAGTGCTGGCTTCTTCAGATTCTACCGTGCCATTCTTAGTCATCTAGGGATATAAGGAAGTAAATAAGAGATGTCATCTGGGCAGAGCCAGAGTCCCGACTCAGCATTGCTGAGGATTGTTGTTATGCATAGAGTCCGCAAAATCGCAGTGCGCAGGGCCTGTGTGTGTGTGTGTGTGTGTGTGTGTGTGTGTGTGTGTGTGTGCGCACAGCCAGAGAAGACACAGGAAGAAAAACAAAGACGACAAAATAACAGGCTTTTAAAAATGCTCTTAACCTCTTAATGTGAGTGGCTATAGTTAGAGCTTAAATGAGCATAGTATGAACAGACAAGAGGTCAGACACCCATCCCTGAAAGCTGTCTTTACAATCAGCTCACAGTGGGCATTTCTGATGTCAGAGGAAATAGGTCCTAGTTCAAAAGTGACAGCATCTTAGTGGCAGCTATGACCACCTTACCTAGTAAACGTCATGTCTTGAAATAACAAGTTTGTCTTTCAGGCTATAGCAAATCATACACATAGGAAAGAAGACTGTGTTGCACTGTGGAGCTGGGGTGGCAAACCATTATTACTCAGAACATTCTGAGAAGGAGGGCTTGATGTGAAGTAATCAGTCAGGTCAGTGTGATTTCAGTAAATCAGACATGGAGGGTTGGCTGTCAAGGTTAACCAGCCTACACTGAAACAGCAGACTTGACTCTCAAAGGAGTGTGTGCCCACAGCCCCACCTTCTGCATAACAGCATACTCCTGGCATCGTCATGGCGGCTGTTTGTATTTTTATTTCTTTTCTGTAGTAACCTCATAAATCAGTAAACCCTGAATAAGTATTTCATTTGTTATTATTATACTACCACCTATTGTTTCCTTCATAAAAAACATTTGAAATTTTCTCTGAAAATGAACAAGATTTTTTTTCTGAGGAGCAGCCCACGGGTAAAAGCTGAAATTCTATAAGAAATAAATCACGGGACGTTCTAAATACAGAAGCTATTTTAATTCTTCAATTTGTTACTTTCTACTTCATTAATTATAACTCTTACCATGCTTGGTGACCTGAACAAATGATTCATTAAGCAGTGGAAGTACTCTAGAGATATCAGACACTACACTCTCATCTTTATAGAAAAATGTTCATATTTACATAAGAATATTTACTACAGGGTAACAACTTCAGACTGGACAATTTGGAGGGAGTGAAGAACAGGGTGAAGGTTAGACTTTGCCCCCCAGCAGAGAAACTTCCACAGAGAAAAGGATCAGGAGTGAGAGCCTAATAAGACACATTACAAAGGCTCCTTGAGATATATTTTCAAAAGTTGCTTAATCACATTAAAAATACTTTAGAACTTAAATCAGCAGTCTTGGAAGGACTTTCTTTATCGGATATTATTTCTTAGTATGAGCCACAATTTATTCCCCACCTCCTCCCCTCTGGAGTTGATGTCAGGCTATCTTCCTCTATTGCTTTAGACCTTAGTTTTTGAGACAGGGTGTCTTGCTGGACCTGGAACTTCCTGTGTCAGCCAGACTGGCAGGACAGCAATCCCTGGGATCTGTCTGTTTCCACTTCCTCAGAGCTGGGATTACAGAGTGTGCTACCACGCCTGGGTTTTTATGTGTGTGTTATAACACTCACATAAACTCAGGTCCTCAGGCTTCTGCAGTGCTTCCTGACTGAACCATCTCCTCCACCTGGTATTCTTTATATATGTATTGGTTAAGCTGTGATGTTCAATACGGGGCTTCACTTTAGTTGTGGTTATCATTTCTGTTAATTCTCATTTACTAACAAGCTGTACATTTCTATGCATAAAAATATGATTTTCAAAGAAATGCAAGCGCCTACAGAACTCGAGTACACAAAGATACTCATTCAACAGCATCTCCATGTTTCATATTCATAATGCTGCTCTGTACAATCAGTAGCATTATAACAGCAAAGTCTCCAGCTTATATGAACAAAACTAGATCTTTAAAAAAAAAATGGTGGTTGAAATACACAAAATCTGAAAACCAAGACAAAGTGAGGCCAGGCATGGTAGCACAAGCCTGTAACCCCAGCTCTCTGGAAGCTGCATTGAGAGGCCTTGAGTTGAAGGCCAGCCTAGGCTACACAGTGAGACTTTGCCTACTAAAACAAATAAAAAAGTGAAATTTTAGCAAGCATATATAAGCACATCCAAACTTTTAGGGCAACATAACCAAATGGCATCTAATAAACAATTAAAATTTTTATTATTTTTATTTATTTTTAAAAAAATTTTATTTATTTAATTTTATGTGTTGCAGTGTCGTGTGGAGGACAGAAGAGGCTGTTGGATCCCCTTGGAACTGGAGTTACAGACAGTTGTTCGCTGTCATGTGGGTGCTGGGATTCAAAGCTGGGTCTTCTGCAAGAACAGCCAGTGTTCTTAACTGCCAAGCCATCTCTCCAGCCCAAGAACAATTTTTTTAAAAAAATCTCATAAGTCCAACTATAGATTCAGTTTACTCCAAATATAATGTCCTTAGAAATATACTCTGGATCTTGGTTTTTTTTATATCCTTTGATTACGATAAACAATTTAATTTCAATTTAAATAAAAATTTACTCAATAGTCTACAATTCCTTCCCACACAGCTACACTTCCCACTGTCTCCATTCTTATACAAAAACCTACATAAGCTGTAATCTATGTTTTCAAAGTCTCCTATGGTGTTGAAGTCATCTTGCAAGGTTTTCTCACCAGTTCAAGATCATTGAACTTAGCAACTGGCTTATCTTCCCCATTTCCCAGTTTCTGGTGCCTTTTCTCATTGCTGTAATGAAATTCCTCACAGAAAGCCACTGAAGAGGATTCACTCTGGATGCCTGTTTGAGAGGGTACAGTACACCTCCACAGGGAGGCATGGCAGCAGAGTCTATGTCTTCACTACTGGGCAGAGCAGGAAGCAGAGAGAACACAGCTTCCCCCTTTCCAGTCAGCCCTCGAGACAGTGCCACCTCCATTTAGGGTCGATCTTCCTTCCTCAGTTAAACCTTTCTGGAAACAGTGTCCCAGATATGTGACTCCCACATAGTTCTAAATCCAGTCAAACTGACAATAAAGGTGAACCATCACAGCTGCCTTTGGAACATATTCTCCACCATGCCCCTCTCCTCTTGTCTGTGTCATTTCTTTAAAACCAAGGCTCAAACTACTGAGTTCAGATGCTCTTTAAGATTAGGGTGCTACATACACTATTTTCATATGCACTTTTCCTGCCGAGAGCAGTACAGGAGAAAGTCAACTGTTTCCTACCAGTTCACATCTATTGCACTCACAAAATCTGGTGCAATGAAATGCAGAGACTGTGCCAGGATGGCCTCAGCCATATTCCTGAACTGCTTCATGTCCATCTTCAACTGCAAGAACATTCAGGTTGCAGAGCCTATTTTTTTCTTGACATGATGGCAACTTTTTAAATATGTTTTTTTCTATCTCAAAAGAGAACCATTGAATTTTCAGACTTTGATTCATTAAAATCTCTCCAATGTGGATTTATAAGAAAGCAATTCCTTGACTCATTTCAATATGCTTTTCCTACATTTCACAGATTATAAGGATCCTATGGTACCTTATACAGTCTTGGAACTCTAACATTAACTTCAACACAATGTGTCTAAAACTCTATTTTATATATAAAATAGTAATATTCAATAACCAGTACTTTCAAATATATGCTTCCTTTTGAGGAGATTCAAAGCTATGTATATAGTCTACAGGACGGGATAAAATCTCTGCCAACCATACATTATACATTAGTATATAAAGAATGTAAAAAATTAAACACTCCAGACCTAAATCATTCAATCAACCAATGGGCAAATAAAGAAAGCACTTTTGAAAGAAGAAATACAAATGGCCAATAATTACATGAAAACATACTCAACAGTTTTAGCCCAGGGAAACACAAATTAAAACTACACTGATATTCCATCTCACCCCAGTTCAAATCGATAATATCAAGAAAACAAATGTAACAAGTGATGAGGAGGATACACGGAAAAAGAAGCTTTCTCTGCTGCTGTAGGAATGTAAACTAAGTATAGCCACTGTGGAAATTCCTCAACAAAGTGAAAACAGAACTATCATGTGATCCAGCTGTTCCACTTCTGGGTGTAAACCTGAAGGAATGCCACAATGATACTTGTACATCCATGTTTGGTACAACACTATTCATAATAGCTTAGTAATGGAGCCATCTGAGATGCCCAGCAACAGATGCCTAAAGAAAATGTTGTGTATATTCTAATTGAGTTTTATTTAGTTGTAAAGAAGAATGCAACTAAATAATTTTCAGGAAAATGGATGAAACTGGGGATCATCATATTAAGTTAAAAAAAGGGCAGACTCAGAAAAACAATATGTAGAATCTAGAAATCATACCTATGATAGTTATCATACATAGGCACAGAGGACATGAAAGTAGAAGGCAGGTATATCAGCTGGGAAGGGAACTAAAGAGAGGCAGTTCGGGGAGATAAGAAAACGTAACGGTTAGATGAAAGATAGATGTAGTGTCTTCTGTCACATGCAGAATCTATCATCTATCAATCACCTATCTATCATCTATCTATGTATCTATCAATTATCTATCTATCTATCTATCTATCTATCTATCTATCTATC